CGTGTGACAATGAAGACTGGAGTAATTATGCTGAAAATTCAGCTTCACCAAAATGAATAAATTACATTTTAAAATATCTTAGAAATGGAAAACAGCTATTATATATGGAAATATTATTTCACAATATTACAATTTTACACTATTTAAAAAAAAAAAAAAATGCACCCTTGATGAGCTTCTTCCAAAAACATTGAAAAATCGTATGACCCCAAACTTTCAAACGGTAGTATTTATATATAATTTTCGAATTAAATAAAGGATTATGCCAAAGTACTTTACAATGTTTTCTTTTCAATCATTTCATTATTTTAACGAGGCTGTATCACCCTGAATAAAAACATGAAAAATATCAAACATTTGAAGTCAGAAATAAAAAACATGTTCACCATAGTATGTGTACTCAAGCCATTGTATCATGCATGTATGAATTGAATTTTTATGTATCCCATGAATGAACAGTTAGTTCATTTCCAGCTGGACAATTATCTGTAAATTATATTTGTGTAGACAGGTTGATGCAAGATTTGCTTTTGCGATCCACACAGTAATAATCAGTTGAAAGAACAACAGGACTGATGCAGCATCACTTTCACATCTCACTGAACAGATTTATACGTGAGGCTGATCCTAGATTAGCTTGCATATACTGAGATTTTTGAGGAGCAGTCTGTGACTCACAGGGATAATACCGTCTTCCTGCCGTCCCTCTCTCCTCAGCTGAACCCTCTCCATGGGCCTCAGATACGGACTGGCCCAGTCAAACCACTCATCATAGCGATGGCTCCACTGACGATAGTGGATTAAGACTTTCTCATCCTCGTAGTCAATCTTCTCAATGTTGGCAGCATACCTGGAAGCGAAATCACATACAGATAGCTTGCGATAAAAAGGAGTGATGGACAGGCTAAAAAGAATTACTGTTTTTAAAAGAATGGCACTTGCCAGTTCTTCAGACTGTCCCGTGCTTCAAGAGCAGCGCCCACCTCAAAAGTTATTCCTCGTCTGTTAGGAGGTGTATTGCTCATGTTGTCAGCAAATACCTAATATGAAAGTGTCACATTTCAGTAACTGCCCAATGAGGATTACATTACATAGATAATTCTCAAATCAATACTAGGGCTGGGTTAATATCGAATTCTCGATTTAATCGATCCTCATTTTGAAGAACCGATATTGATTCTTAAATCCCATTTATTATCGATCTTTCAGTCTATGTTGTTTTCAATTGATGAATGAACAAAGCAGCGTACTACCTACCATCCAATAAATCGCATTAAGCTTTGTGCTGTTACTTCTGATATGAAACAAAGTCTCAGCTTTCAAATTTTGTCACTTTTATTACGAAATTCAAACAATAAATACCGTTTTGACGCTCTTTTATGTGGCGCGACAGATTGCACGTGAACGAATTTACGCTTTACTACTATTTACAGCACGAAATAAACATGAATGAACATCAGAAGGTATGTTGAAAGATAGGCCTACAGTACAACTTCTCAACAGATCATGTAATCGCTCAGTGTTTCAGTCACCCAATGTCACGTAGTTACATTTACCTCAGAAAAGCAATTCAAAACTCGTTAGTCAGCTAGAAAATTAACTCCAGATAGGAGCATTTTGCTAAATATATGCACTATATTGCATATATTCATTGTATTTTTACTTAACCTGTTCTTCAATATTTAATGTATTTTTAATAAATCCGCCATGTTTTTATGACAGCCACCATTTAAGTGTTTACATTTTTTTTAAACCGAGTAGAAACATAAGTAACTAAAATGTATTATTATAACGTTTTATTGTACAATTTAAATGTAGGAAGAAGTTCACTGCCCTACAAATCAGTTCATTTTAACCTTTAATAGTATAGTGATGCATCAACTGGATTCCCTGTATAGTTTACAGCATTAGTTGAGAGAGATTTTTTCCTTGAGGAAATATTATTGTACTGTACCTAATAGTCCACAATTAATTGATATCAAATTGAATTGAATCAAGATCTAAGCGTGAAATTTGTGTCAATGTCCAGCTCTACTTAATACATTCAAGTAGACTATTTAAGAGCTAACATGAGAGAAATTAACCCTAATAAAATGTAGTAAAAGTGATTAAATATTTCCTTTTCCGATAAAAATAATTATAACATTAGCTGACACTCTGAAGTCTGAACTGTATCATTAATAATAATATTATTAATAATAATAATGAATAATAATAACTGTATTTTGGCAGGAAAACAATTATGTACAATTATTAATAATTGTGTATTTATTGTCACAGCTTGCTAAAATCACATATCAAGGCCACTGGACTGGTTACTGGCACTGTTTTGTAACAAATTTTTACTTTTAACAAAGTAAGTATTTGACTTGTAATATAAATCTTTCAGATACAACTTTTGATTTTAATAATGTATTAGTAAATGTTGAAATTAACTTTAACTAATATTAATAATAAACACTATAGAAGTAGTTATTATTGTTAGTTCATGTCAACTAATGTAGTTTAACTAATGTCAACAAAATAAACCTTATTGTGAAGTGATACCAAGATTTGAATTTTTCATGCTACAAGTTTGCATTACCATTAATATTATTAAAATAGTTTAAATGATTAAGAATGAATAATTAAATTCAGAATTATTTCAATGTTTATGCTTAAATCACAAGATTTATTGTTTTGACTTTTGAAAGCCATGATATTCCATAATTTACTTTTATAGGTCTATAGCGAAATCTTTCCCAGTACTCCCATGATCATCTCTGATCTACAGCATTTGACTTAGATACTGTGTAGGTGCACAGAATCCAGGTCATGGCATCATGCCACTAAACAACGCGAACAACAGACTTAGCTTAATTATCAATAGCCCACTTAACTAAGCCTCTTATTTATATATGTAACTTGTATATAAGTTTAGATTCAACATTCGGTTTAAATTAATAAAATGTTAGGAACAGGATATTAGATCTATCAAAATGTTACAATTTAAACTATTAATGCTACAAAATAAACCATATAGGCCAACATACATAACAAAACACAATAAACATACTTAATTAACTTATTTACTCTTGACTGAGAAGTCGGTAGGTGAGTGATTAAATGTGATTTTATCAGGGGCCACCAGTGCCTGACAATGACAATGGAAACAATAGAGATGCCATATATTCCAATACTACACTACATGGCTGCTTATTATTACCAGATTGCATATTTCTGCCTGTTTTTAGCCAAAAGCAGACAGGGGACATAATTTAAGACCATTTGAAATGCTACAGGAGCATTTTCATCTTAGTAAAAACACAAGCAGACGTTAACTTCCTGACTGATCCACACCCTCCACGAGAATAATGACATGGATAGTAATGGGCGAGTACATCGCCACTCCCACAAATACAAGCTGTAAATCACAACATGCATCTATCAATGCACATGTTACGACATTTATTTTATTTCATTACCTAAAATCTGCAAGTATAGATTCAGTTTTCTAAAACAGCATCTTTAAACATATTGTACTCGAGCAAAGTCTTGCCATTGCGAAAATAGTATTGTATAATGCTGTAAATATCAATTACCTGCAGCGATATCCGTCTCTTTATATACAAAGGCGCGTCGCGTCTTTTATTGTAACCACGTTGGGCGCGAGACGCACTTACTATTTTCCAATGTGTTCCACAGACTACCGGTATGAACAATAACAGAACTGCGCATGCGTCAGCGACTTCGCTTCTATATAAAGACGTCTAGGAGCTTTATTGTGATTTACACAGGCATTATTTTAATACATTACCCTTCAAAAGTTTGCATTCATTAGATAAAAAAAAAAGAAGACATTTATAATGTTTTTTTTTGTTGTTGAAATATTCAGATAATCCTGAACATTTGTTTTATCAGGACAGGAACCCACAAAAAGATTATGCAGCACAACTGATTTACATAGAATCATTTCTGAAGGATCATGTGACACTCAAGACTGGAGTAATGATGCTGAAAATTCAGCTTTGCCATCACAGGAGTAAATTACATATTAAAATATAAATAAATAAATGTAGCCTTGGTGAGCGTATAGAGACTCATTTGAAAAACATCAAAAAATCTTAGCAACCCCAAACTTTTGAACAGTAGTCTATTTATATAATGTACACGGGTTTCCTGTTTACAAACATTACAGGTTGTGTGAGCATACCAGAGGCAGAAAGCCAGATTGGTGAGCTGGTCCGTTACTGCAACAACCTTAAGTATTAAAGCTTTCCTTATTGTTTGTTTGTATAACTGCTGACTCAATAAAACGTTATTTTAGTTGGATCTGTTTGTCTGTCTTTAATTTTGTAGTGTGTTTCTGTGATATGTATGAATTATGTTAGGCTAGTAATGTAATAGCCAATGTTAGCAGTGCAGCATCTACTGGACAACCCGAATTTGCTTTTATATAAGTTACCTTACGCTTGTTTACGTTACACAGACACCACCACTATGCTACAAGCCTATTACACGAAACCACGAAACACGTCTTTTTCTGCCTCCCGGTTGCGTGCGCAAGCAGTGATGACGTTGCCGAAAAATCCATGTATAGGTATAATGTATAGAGCCTAATTTTATGTAACCCCTAAAATATTAAATAAATAAACAAATCACATCTTTGTGAAACTTTATTATACTTATTCCTCAACATCCATTTCACACAAAATACACACACAATCCAAAGGTTGTATAGAATATTTTGATCATACACAATCAGTCTATAGCACAGAATACTACATACAAAAGTATTTAGATTTTCTATTTTCCAACAACTCACCACCACTCAGTTCCATTTATAAGCAACATCAGTAAAATAACCAGCACTATTTACAAGCTTTATTTACATACAAAGAACATGAATACACAAAGGGTACCTGTCTTTTTAGATAAGCCATGGATTTTATTTACTCTTTTCCAAGATTTTACATTTTAATTATTCAAAGGTTGTTGTTTTTTTTACAGGCATCTAACAATGGCATATACTCTCATTATTACTTTATATATTTAATTCATTTACTTTTTTTTTTTTTAGAAGTAGTATTTCCAAATGGTATTTATGAGGCTGTGAACTTCCAATGGGAGCTGAAAATGTACTATTTCATGACTCTGGACAATTTCGCATAAATTACATTCCTGATTATCAGGGAGTAGCAGTTTCTTTAAAAAAAAAATCATAAAATAAAATACAAAACTTTCACTTCTTAAAATACTGTATATCATTGGATAGAGTATGAAAAAGTCCCACTCAATCTAACAAAACCTATTTTCCTCTTTTCTAAAGTTACTCTTAGATCAAACTAAGAACAAATACAACGTTTATACATTTGTCCTGTACATAACAGGTAACCTTTTCTTTAAAATCCACAAATCCACAAAGATACTGTCAGGACAAACAAAATAAAGTTTTCTTACAGCCTGTCACTATGACTTACTATACAACACAAGCGTACAGCGTTTGAGTGCTCACAAAGCAATGCATCCATGCAAGTTACCTTTAACTTTGAACCTTGCAATGCACAACGTATGTACCACTAACAATTCGTGATCATCACAACTGAAGATGTGCCTTTTTTTAATGCATTTCTTGAACATGCAAAGAACTTAGGATGAAGGCATGACATTTCTGCCATGTTACCATCAATTTCACTAGTCTTTATATCGAGGAAGTGGGCAGAACACACCTAACTAACAAAACTAACAGTGACGTTGAGAGTTTTCCAGTTAAAATATATACACATTTTTCACAAACAATCATCCTTAAAAATGTACTTTTGTCTAAGATTTTGCCTAGTTTCTGTCCATGTTGTCATATTTGTGAGAAGGGTGGTTGTGTATCACTGAATCACGTACTGCCAGTGAGACGTAAGGAGAACTTTAAACAATGCCCTCTATGAAGCTTGTGTCCAGATGTACAATAAGCATTCGCAGAAAAGACATCTCCTTGCGGGTGTTCTCGAATATGACACGGGGGTCATCCGACTGGCACCGAAGGCAATTAGGAGCCATTACCATTGCAAGGTTGTTTACGTCCATTTTAGTGACTGCAACATTCGTAGGCTGAGCAAACACCTGAGGAAGACATGGGACATACATAAGTGAAATACGAATTATTTTGTGCATTTGAAAGCATTGCTGCCCATTGTGTGCGTTTAAATGTTGTGGCTACCTGTAGGAAGTGGATGAAGTAGCACAACACCAGCCGGTTGAGCTCAGGCAGCAACTGCACCACTCTGATGGCTGCCACAGGATCATCATAGTTACTGACACACTCCTTGTAGAAACTCATAGGGATAAGAGGCTCTTCCAGCTCACGGTACCAGAGCTTCATCAGAGAGGCTGAGGAAAACATTGGTATAAGATGTTTAAACATGTCTGGTATTTTATTGGAATGCCAGTAAATATTGTCTTTGGCTATGTAATATTCTTATAAATGCATGAGAACAGTTACTCACCAGGAACATTAGGGTCTGACAAATTTTCAGGAATCCTCCACTGGTCTACCTGTAGCTTCAGTGCATTAACTTCATCAATGTCACCAGGGACCCTGTAGGAGGAAATTGTAATGTTACACTCGAGAACCACCAGAGGGAGACAGCACACCATAATTATGCATGAACTAGACTGTGAGTTCGGCAAAATTGTATGTCCCCCAGTTAGTCTTTCGCATCCATAAGTTGTGCAATTTCCCTCCCAAGAGATAAATATATGACAGTAGGGGGAATCTATTTTGAAACTGCAGTTTGCCAAGCAACAAGCTACTCATAACTAATATGTTAAAAGGAGAGTTTGATCATTCTTTCCTTTTGGCTCAAACTAAATCAATCAATACTAGGTACAGAATACTACAATACAAATGGATGCTTAGGACATACATTAGCCCAGTTAAAGTGCATAGGTTTAATCCTAACATCCCGGATAATTGCATAAAATGTAAAGAGGAAATTGGCACACTGTTTCACTGTATGTGGGGAATGTAGAGAGTTGTAGGTGTTCTGAAAGGAGGTTCTTGAGGTGATCTGGAACCTAAATTGTGTCTATTGCATATACAGTACTGTGCACGTTAGTATTTTCGCCAAAATAAAAAAAGTTATTTGCAGTTGTTTTTATCTTTTGCTGTAGTGTGTCTGTAGGAAATATCCTACAGTTTACTTTTCCAAACATTCCTTTTGCCATTAATTGTATTAATCCAGTGAGATTTTTGTATGCACAAGGAGTCTGACAACAGCCGGTATCATCTGATCTCACCATCATCAAGTCTGTCTGTGATTACATGAAGAAACAGAAAAAAACTGAGACAGACTAAATCTAGAAGAACTGTGGCAACGTCTCCAAAATGAAGAACATGAAGAAACCTGCCTCCAAAGCTACAGTACTGTGTAAAGTTTTAGGCACTTGTGTAAAAATGCTGTAAAGTGAGGATGCTTTCAAAATGAATGTCATAAATAGGTTTCATTTATCAATTAACTTCTATTTACTAAATCAAATCCATATTTGGTGTGACCACCCTTGTGTTTAAAACAGCTTTTGTCCAGGTACACCTGCAGTTTTTCAGGTAGATTTGCAGGCAGGTTTCTTCAAGCCTCTTAGGCCCCATCCACACTACTGCGTTTTCGTTTAAAAACGGAGACCTTTTGCTACGTTTGCACCTCCCGTCCACACTAAAACGGCAAAAACGGAGACCCAAAACGGAGAAGTTTAGAAACGCTGCCGATCCGTTTTTCGTTTTGAATCTCCGGAGGGCTTTTTAGTGTAGACGGGTCAAAACGGAGAACTTTAGAAACGATGACGTAGTAGAGGCTCACGCTCGACTCTTATGATTGGGTGTCATCAGTCATGGCGTATATCTTTGCTAGCAGCTGTTGTAGAAGTAAATTATGCATTTTACAACGCTATAACTGCCTACATGCGCTGGAGTCAAGCTATTATTCGAGTGATCTGTGGCAATTCCCATGTGCAGCGGCGGCGTTGGTCGTACATGGAGCGTCGGTTTGGGGTTAACCCAGAGCATGGTGGGATAATTTTATCAATGAAGTTGTGTTTACACCGGGACGCGCATGCCCAGTGTTGGTGAATGGTCACGTGATCCGCGTTTTCAGTCGTTTTAATGTGGACGGAGATCAATTCTAATACGCAGCTAAAACGCTGGTGTGGATGGAGATCGTATTTGTTTTAATTATCCGTTTCTAAACTAAAACGCAGTAGTGTGGATGGGGCCTTAGAGACGTTGCCACAGTTCTTCTGGATTTAGTCTGTTTTAGTTTTAGTTTTTTCTTCATGTAATCCCAGACGGACCCGATGATGGTGAGATCAGATCTCTATGTGGATCAGATCATACCGGCTGTTGTCAGACTCCTTGTGCATACAAAAAGCTCACTGGATTATTACAATTAATGGCAAAAGGAATGTTTGGAAATGTAAACTGCTATTTCCTACTGACACACTACAGCAAAAGATATAAATAACTGGCTTAAAACTTTTTTTGTGTGAAAATACTAACATGCCTAATACGTTTGCACAGTACTGTATATCCTGTAAGGGTTGCTGTAACTGCAAACGGAAGCTCATAGATTTCAGTTTAATACAAGCTAAACGTGTTATTGCTTTAGCATGGAAAAGTATTCAAAAGCCCTATTCGGACGGTAATTGTTTCTCATGGGGTCGTAAGGTATTTTCAACATTTACAGGGGCTAGTATGTGATTTTATTGCCGTCCAAATCCAGAATGTCAGTGTTTTTCTCCCACCACCCGCGTAAAAATCCCTGGCCGAATTACCTAGTGGTTTCTGACAAACACCAAGGTCGTGTGGTGATTTAATTGCCGTCCGAATCCACATCTCTGAGCTTACAAGAAGAGATCACTTCAAAATTCACTGTTTAAATCCTTTTTGATCACTGTCGAGCACCTTACTTACGATAACTGTTAATCTGCATGCATTTTAAAGATGTACACTTTTATTACTAAAATGCTGGAAAGTATTTACAAGAGCAATATTTCATCACCGCTCCACCTCAGGGAACAAAAAGGAGAAAGAGAAAAAAGCACTATATAACTGTATACAATTACAAAATACAGAGTTAAAAAAAAGGGAGTTTGATTAGTTTAAATGTGTAGTTAACTACACTACAAGTTACGTTGGAGATTGTAAAGGGCACAAAGTCCTTTTAAATAAATTAACAATGTGATGATATAATTTATTTTTGCTGTCAGAGCGAAAACAAGCAATTAGTGTGAGAGTATTAAATTTCTAAATTTCTAATAAAACTGTAAACTAATTAATACATACTACCGTTTAAAAGTTTGAAGTCACTAAGATGTTTTTTTTTATTAATACTTTTATTTAACTGTGCTAATGACACATTACCAAAACATTTAGTTAAGCTGGTAGCGTCACAACTTTTAATTATTTACTTGTCAACACACACTCATATAGTAAAATATAATCTGCTCTTCTATTCTGCCTAATTAGTAGTGAGTTAAGCAGGTCTTACCTGAATATCCCCTCAGTCTGAGCTCCACCCAGAGCCAGCACATACTGAGACAGCTGCACTTGCACCCATGGTAACTTCCTGTCTGGGAAGAGTTCACTCTGCCGCTCCATCACTTCCTCTAGAGAGCTGCCGAATAGTGAGGGGGTCATGATAGCACGTCGACTGTGGTCCACCTCCTCCAAACTAGGCTTACGGAGACCCTTCATGGGAAATAGAGCAATTGCTGCTTATTATCTTCTTTCTTAAACATCTGATTCTTCTTCGGTGTATTTGTTAAAAACTCACCTTTTTCCCTCCAGTGACCGCCACTTTCTGGAGCTTCCGGTAGCAGTACTTGGCATATGTGCTGATGGGAAGCGCTAGAGACAAAAAGACATAATTTATTCCTACTATTCGTAGACACAGGATCTGCACAGCCTAATCGCTGACAGATTTACGTCTAATGCATCAAAACCTGTTTTACAAGTTAAACACTTTGAGAACTAAGTCACTTTTCTTTGTCTGGAACGTGAGTTCCATATTGCTTTGTAATAGTTGTTGTGGCACCAGCGATCATGGGATCACAGCGGCACGTGGGGAGTGAAACACTTCAAAATGAGTCACTTTTTTAACAATGAATGAAAAATTATTTGGTTCCATCAGAAGTGTGGAGGAGGAAATCCAGCCTGCACATTCTGTTAGTAGTGACTCATCAGATCAACATGTGAACTGGAGGAGAGGAAAAGACAGAGGGGTTTTCTACTAGGCTGTGTTTCATCAATGTGCTGTTTTGTCCTTCGGTTATGTAAGAGCCAAGGACTATAAAAGTAGACACTGCAGAACATTTTCCATTACTTAGAATAAATTATATTCACAGATATCACTTGATGTCAGATTCTGAGACAAACTCCAGACTTGTAGAATCACTAAGATTTATTGTACATTCAGAAATTTTGAATTTATAGTAGTCTGTGCTCAGTATTTTAGAGAGTCTCTTCAGGATTTCTCTGGTTTCACAGAAGAGCTTCATAACTCCAAAGTTAAATCCATAGGGGGCATTTCTAATACCGTCACTGCAGGCTTTACGAATCTTAACTAAAGGAGCCAGATGGTAAAAACTTGTGTGCGGCGATAAAAAGCATCTTTTCTGGAATGTGCCCCAAACTCGACACCCCTTCAGATTTATGGCAAACAGGTGACACACATGCGTGTTGACACAACCTCTTGTTCATTTCCCCGCACCAGACTGCAATTATGTTTAATGAGAGATATTGCATCATAAATTTGCCCTTGATCTCTTTTTTTTTGGATTACTGAACCTAAACAGTTCATTTACAGGGTAAACATACGGATTCTGCTTAATTCTGAATATTTTGCATGACTAAGTGCTGGTGGTCCGGCTCTGAAGCAACAGCTTGCACTCATTTGAAATGAAAGGCAACAATAAAGTGAAGGAAAGCCAGAGGAAACAACAATCTTTTCAGAGGCCACAGATGAGACCACACAGATCTTTGTGGTGACTCCCTATGTCAGAGAGATGAGTAAATTCCTGTTTTACAGCGGCCCCGTCATCAGGGCATTCAGCATCCCAATAAACTCCACAGCTGAGCCGGCCCTACTTACAGACCAGATCTAACCTTGAGAATCCTCACATAGTGACTCACATCCAGCGCTGCAGCGCTATCTGTGAAGTCGACCCACTTATCTGGACATCTGCCCATCAGATCCAACTAAATGACTCAAAATCATTGCAGGCCATGAGCCATATCCTGCTCCTTCAAGTGGCCAGTGGCTGGTGCTAGTCTAATGATCCTGTGACTAGAGATGGCTCATGAGTAGTTCTGCAGCAGTGGCTGTGAGTCACTGTTACGCCATGCATGCAGGCAGTGAAAATCAGTGTAAGGGATCCTCACTGTGGTCAATGCCACGGCTATGTGTAGGCAGAAATCTGATGAGATCATCAGGACCAATCATTGTGGTAATACAGTAACAAGGTCAAAGTGTCGCCATATGGAAGTACAGTCATCTACTGATTAGCACACGTGATGCGTACTGCCCGAAAGGGCTAATTAAAATAGTTTTATTGACCTGTCAAATAATCAATGTTGCTAATGCAGTGGGATGCACCCACAAATGAAGAGCACTCAATATATATATATAGACCTGCATACCAACATCTAATTCTTTATCAGTGTATAGTGGTTCATTAAATCTCTAGTTGATCCATTACATATTCAAAATCTCTTAAAAATCTCTCAAATGTCAACAAATTTTCCTCTGAACAAAGTGACTTTGAGGTCAATTTATTCTTTTTTTTTTTGTTTCGTTCCAAAATGTGTCTCAGATAAGGAAACAAGCATAGTTAAAGAAAACATACCTTCTGCTTCCTCCTCTGAGCTCTGTTTTCTCTTCTTCCTTGACTTTGAGTTCTTCTTCTTAATATCCTGCTGGTCCAGTATGTACAGGGTTACTACAAAAGAGACGAAAAAATAAAAAAATAAAAACATTTATATATAAAATACTGCTTTCATTTGATATATTTTTTTTAGAATACATTTAGTTACATTATATGCAAAATTTATTAAATCACAATTAATTGCATGTTAAGAGGTAAGATTATTTTAAAAAAGAAAAGTCCTTTATTTGATCAAATATATAATAAAACTAATACTGTTAAATATTATTAACATTTAAAATAACTGTTTTCAATTTTAATATATTTAAAAATGTAATGTATTCCTGTGATGCAAAGCTGAATTTCCAGCAGCCATTACTCCAGTCATCAGTGTCACATGATCCTTCAGAAATCATTCTAATATACAGATTTGTGCTGAAGTAACATTTTCATTTTATTATCAATGTTGAAAAGTTTGCTGGTTGAACATTTTTTTTCTGGATTCTTTGATGATCATTATAAAAGTCTTTACTGTCACTTTTGGTAGGTTTATGCATCCTTGCTAAATAAAAGTATTATTTCCTTTAAAAAAAAAAAAAAAAAAAAACGTACTGCCCCAAAAATTTGACTTTGACTTGCAGGGCTGTTGACAGGATGTGTTCTTTGCATTTTTAAGATGCCATAAGTTTTAAAAATGTGTCTTGAGGCCTTCCGTTCCATTTAGTTGTGTTCGTGTCACTGTTTTAGAACACAAGAATGTGTCCTGTGTGAACAACTTCTTGATGGTTTGGCGAGACACGCTGCCTGTAGCCTAGTGTATGGCTCAGTTAGCAAGATTATTTGATAATATTATTTGATTTTTAATTAACTGAAAAACTCACTTTTCTTGTCATTGGTTGGCTCCAAGTGCCTCTGAATGTAGCCTTCCAGGTAGCAGCAGAACTTGGGTGAAGGAGCGAAGAAGGCGAGGCACACAGCCATAAGCTCCCAGCCTGCTGCCAAACTGCGTGGGCTGGTGTTGCCAGTGGTCTGCCTCACGAGCTGGACATAGAGCTCATCCCTCAGGCCCTGCATGCCCCAACACTTAGTGACAACTAGAAGAGCCGCATGCCGCCGGTCCAACCGTGAAGGTCGGTCTCCCATGTATGCCTGGACGAGCTTAAACATCTCGCAGGCTTCTTTGCGCACAGTGCGGTCGTTGGTCATCAGCATGGGTTTCTTGATGGAGCCGCGGTTCCATGACAGCATGTTGGCGATGGAGACTCGACGGCGGAACAGGCCCTGGGTGTGCATGTTCAAGTGCTTGCTGGCCCAGTCGGCCATGTTGGAGTCTGGGGGTGGTGGCTGACGGAGGGTGGCGTAGGATAGCTGGTAAGCCCCACCATCACCTCCCTGTAAATTGGTATCGCTGGCTACGTGGCGATGAGGGCCGAGTGAGCCCGTTCTGTTGTCTACCATACCTTTCTTTCTGCTGTCCGACTGAACTTTTGGCTCCAGTGTTCCCGCCTACAGAGGAGGAGAAACACGGTGAGAATAAAGGTATTCATAAAAAAAGTCTATTTCTCTACAGCTTCAGTTTGTTCCAACTGCCGTTTACTTAAACTTGACCCTCTGTTATGTTTGGCAATAATTGCAGGATCGAAAATTAACGCAAAAATCACAATAATCTCCATCAAACACTATGTAAAAAAAAAAAATCCACTATAGATGAAGTATGACCAATCGCTGACATAAAAAAAAACCTTCTACAGCAAGTCGTTTCTCCTTCTATGTCTCTAAAAAATAGTGCAAATCCAGCAATGGCCTCATTTTGATCCCTAGAGGAATTTTGTCCTGTAATAAGGTCCCTTATGCAGCCAATGCCTCTCTTGCTGTACTGAAAGCTGTATTCCTGTTTCAAAATCTAGACACAACATGTGTGCCAACTTCACTTTTATACCAAATATAGAATATTTAGGACACTGTGGGTCAAATTGACATAATTCATAGAGGTCATTTAAGCAATACAATTAGAGTTCACCTTTGTAGAAACAATTTGGGTCTATTAAAACCATATGGTTTTTATTTTTATGGTTTTAAACTTAAACTTACAGATCCGTATTATTTAAGCATTACTTATTTACTAGATATATATTTTATATTTTCAGGTTTTAATATTAATTTTCATACAGAAAAATATCTATTTAGATTTAATGTATTTTTATTTCACATTCAGTGATTTTAGTGCTTCAACTTGCAATTGTTTTATTTCAAATGGTTGCTAAGGCAACATTTCAAATTTTTGTTTTAGGTTTTTTAAGTTTAGGTTGTTCCTCTAATATGCATTTATAATTCAAATTTTATTTAAGCTTCATTTCAACAAAACACAATTTTTTATAGTTTTAGTTAACAAAAACACCACTGTTATGGATGGATTCCCCATGGTTCCCCATGACACAAGAAACAGAATCATAACATATTTTCAGATTTTTTTCTCCGTGTATTCACTATCATCTGCCAAAGGTTTTGGGAAGCATCACATTGATATTGCCAGTGTGGTGAAATGGCTTATACACCAGGGAATGAGGTGACCTATGATGTCATCAGCTTATGGAACAATCCCCAGCAGGTTCCAAACCCCTATCGACTGCACCGTAGACACACAATTGGTCGGTACAGTGACCACGCCTGTCCAGGACCCAACTGTCCCGTCTGTGTCAGCGACGCTACCATATGGGCCACAGTAGCCATCCTTCCTGCTCAATAGGCGTCGTGTTTTGCAGCTCCACTACGTTCTGGCATTTCACCCATTACCCTGGCAGTTCACTGCTGGACTGGAGGGGGAGTTGGGTGCGACGTGAGTAGATATCATCGCCTCTTTTTAAATAGGTAATAAAAACGTTTGCAACGATCAGCACCTGTAAGTCTCAAAGCCCTAAAATAATCGCTTTCATGTTTCCAGAGCTGATTGGATCAAAACCCAAGTAGTGAGTTCTTGAAAGCATTTGAGAAATGCTTTCCTCTGGGCGCCTGGCTGTTGAACAATGCAGATAGAATTCATCACTGAGGGAGGACATATTACAGCTTTGCTACGGGTCAGAGCAGCAGTAACCGTTCCTTTGAGTGAAATTATTGCCCTTAACTGGAATCATGTGCAGCCGAGGAATTACCTCTAACTTGCCTGACTGCAATGTTGAATACAAAAGAGAAAGATGTTGTTATACTGCCTGTTGCCTCATTGTAATTTATGTTTTAGACTGAAATAACTAAAAGACTGATGTTTTACATCACTATTATGTTATAATGGCTGGTGTAAGGTGCACACAATACTCTGTTTCTAATACAGACCACAGGGAAAGAAAAAAATCAGACAAGCATGAAAAACTTCAACCAAAACAAAACGCTCTCCCAGCAGTCCCACATAAAGATTAAACAAATACAACGTCTGGTTTTTAATGATGCTGAAACTCAAGATCTGTGGAAAAGAAGTGTGTCAGAAGTTCATACACATATTTTCTACAAGACTGCAAATCTCTATAAAATAACAAGGGAAAAGCTGTAATAAAGCTGAAAAGGGACGTGTAAATGTTAAGCTCATTATAAGTAAGTGATAGTTTACCAGAAGATTGCCAGTAACATTTTACAATAAAATTTTTTTTGGTTAATATTAGTTAATGTATTTAAACTATAAATATACTATTATTCATTGTTAAATGTGTTATTATATGTAGACATTAACATTAAAGGGATAGTTCATCCAACAATAAAGGTTTCATCATTTACTCATCGGTCCAAACCTGTATGTCTCTTTTCTATGGAACATAAAGTAACCTATTTTGAAAAATGTCTGTCTTTTGTGTCTAAACAATGCAAGTCAGTGGGGTTTAAACAATGTTGTTTAAACAAAAATAGTTTAACATTCCAGAAAATATATACTTTTGCGGTGAATGTGAGGCAATATGTAAAGCGCTTTGGTGACCATTGGATCTGTGAAAGCGCTATATAAATGCAGTCCATTTACCATTTTGCATCTTTTTTTTTATTTTTTTATAAATGACAGAATCGTCTTTTTTGGATAAACTATCCCTATAATCAAGGTTAATAAATGCTGTAAAAGCAGTGATCATGAGACCAAACTTAGGGCTGTGAGATATAGCTAAAAAATATCTTTAAATCTTTAATTCACCGATACCGTTTTATCGCCCAGCCCTAACCAAACTAATGTTAACGAATTTAACTTTATTGTAGTGTTACCAAGTCGTTTCTACCAAATAAACTGAACATTTCTATGTTGTACCTGTGAGGGGGGTCCAGCAGTCTCAGGTGAGGACAAAGTCAAACTCTTCTCAAGCGTGTCCACCTTTTCATAAGTCCGCTTCTGCCGTCCTGGAATCTCCAGAGATGTGAAGGCCAAACTGGGATGGTTACTTGTCCTGCTTTGTGACCTGCTGCAAGATGCAACGTCCTCCCTGGAGGAGCACCGACCCACGCTGTGTGTGCGCTGCGAGGAAGAGTTCTCAGACATCTCAGAATCCAGACTAGCTTTGGTCTCCCGCATGGTGTTTGAGCGACTGACCACCTCCCTCATCTCTTCCATCAGGCGCTCGTTCAGGGCTGTAAGTTCCCCAGTGCTGCCCACAGACCCGGGTCGGCCCTGGGCTCCAGCACCTATCCTCCTCCTGCTTTTCCTCCGAAGGCTGGGAGATGGGCCGGTTGAGTAACCTGAGTCCTGGTAGCTAACGGCGGGAGGCGGTGGTGTGGAATAGTCCTGAGATCCTTGGCTGCCCTGCCGGCTGTGGTGCACTTCCATAGCTCTGAGCACACTCACTTCTAGGATCCTCCATGACTGCTTCTTCTCCAGGCTGGTGGGCTCCTTCTGAAGCCCCCTTGTCGGGAGAAGCAGAGACTCGGATGCTGAGGTCGGAGAAGGGCTGGGAGAGGGGGCCGCTGAGGTGGAAAGGAGCCCTTGTTTGGGATCAACATTCACCATGTGCTTGATACACTCCAAGCCTGCTGGACTATAGTCTGAAGGGTTCCTCTTGTGTCTGGATCCGGTGTGAGACTGAACCGGGTGCTGGAGGAGTTTCATCTTCTGAAGGCTGTGATTGTGTCTGGATGGGCCATTGTGTAGGTGAGCACCTTCAACCTCCATATCTACTGGAGGCTCGTCGTAAATGGGGCAATCGGATGATGGGTCGTCATAGAGACTTGCAGTTGCTCCATATTGAGGAGATACTGGCCTAAGTGAGCTAGACTGTGGTCTTAGAGATGCTGTAGAGTCCCCAGAGGTCACAAGGCAGAAGCTGCCATTGCTCGCCTTCCTCAAGTGGTGGGCCTGCTTTGAGTCCGCTGCTATTTTTCCTCCTGGTGTGGTTTTGTAAGCCTGCGGGGACAGCATGTAACCTGAAACAGATTTGACACTGCCAGGATTGAGTGTGCAGGCACTATGGTCACTGGCTTTGCTCTGTGGGAGATGAAGGGAAGCAGCTCCGTTGGTTCCTTTTGTCTGGCTTCTGCCAATGCTGCTGACCTTTACCAACATGGCGGCTTTGGATCCAGGTGAGGGCTGCCACCTCTGAGATGTGTCTCTTTGCTCTTGCCTGTAAAAAGTAAAAGAAAAGCATTTTAGTTAGATAAATTAGAAAATAAGAACCAAAAATAAGGAAAGAATTCGTAAAACACCGGAAGGCAACACAAATCTAAAAAAGGAGAAGCAGTAAAAGCAAGTACAAGTAACTTTGTTAAAAAGCTAACCTATGAAGCCAAAACCAATCGTCTTTATGACGCCTTTAACAAGTCCAAAACAGTCTAGCTAAATTCTCAGCAATTTAGGGAAACTAAAGGGCTGTGAAGAGTATAAAATGTCTATTTAAACATCCATAATGCCATTGTCAGGAAAACAAAACCACGATTGTTCAACTGAAATAGATTTTAAAACACTACAATGTTGGAGTGTAAAACAGTTTTGTGGTGAAAATGAATGTGGTTCCTTGAATTGTTCTTATTCAAAAGTTTGCCTACATGTTATTGTCACTACACCAATCTGCTTCTGTTTGTAAACCCAACAACTCCCACAGCTTCAGTACTCCTAGACAGTGTTTCATACTGAAGACAAAAGATCTAATCTGTTCACTTCACATCAGGTAGACTAATCATTTAGACACTAATGTACTCGCACTATTCCCAACAGAATATTTTCTGACGTGGCCTCATAAATCTGCATTTGTTAATTTACTCAATCTCCAAAATTAAACAATATGCATTATCATAGTAATTTTCGATAAAATGTTAGAATGTACAGAGTGAAAACACAAAATAAGTCATAGGTGTTTAAAAAATAAACTTAATAACTTGCAGATAATCCCTAATCGACAATCGTACAAAACAAAAAATCAAAGCAAAGAGAGTAGTGAATACTTCATTTACCGTTATTGTGTGAGGAGATGAACGCCTGTCCTGTACTGAAAGAAATCTATGAGGGATATGCTTTCACAGAGCTTTTATGTACACAACTGGATACCACACTAAAAAAACCCCAAGAAATCCTCTGATAAAAACTGCTCAGGCGCCCTTCTCTGGGGATTTTTAATGAGTCACTTCTCAAATGAAGCTCTGGTCCTGCTTCCTCTTACACCTCAACATTCCATAAACACAAACAAAACGGACCTACCCTATCAAACTCAGAAAGAAGGTAAGAGATAAGAGTTATGTCAGACTGTAGGTAAACACTAATTTAACCATTACATTGACTATGATAATCCACTGTTACATTTTGAAACAACACAGGATCATTGCTGTGGAGGAAGCACTTCCCTTCTGTTCTATTCGCTGAGGCATTTTCTCTTATTAGAATTGTTCCCTTTTCTTCTCAAATCATTTCTCACCCAAGAAATTTCTAATTTCTTTTTGAAGATAAACAGCCATTTGAAATGCCAGACAGGTACAGCATATAGGAAGACTGGAAATCAGCCATCTGGCAGAGCCCCAAGGCAATTGCAAAGACTGTCAAACGTGACAACACAACAATCAACAATGTTCAAAGTCTGTCACAGAAAGACTTGACACTTGAATCACAGTGTGAATGTTTAGATGGTGTTGGTTTTCTCAAGGTAGTGACGGAGGGGGCATTGCTGTATAAGTGTTACCCACCAAAGAGAAGACTGTAAAAAAGTAGCTGCTCTTTCCTGTGAAATTCAGCCTTCTGTGTCTGCCATGACACAATGACATAACATCCTCACAGGGTCACTTTAACAATAAGGCAAAGTGATAGGCATGATTTCAGTTTGCTTAAATGTTGGGAAAACAATGCTAGAAATGATCTGTAATGTAGAGTTGAGTCTCCAATGTGACACTGAAGATCCAGGAGAGATGTTTATGTAGGCCCACAGATTAAACATGCTGTTGTTATATGAGTTCTGCCGATGTGAGAAAGCAGGCAGCTCAATTTCCTGTCACAGGGAATGACTAGTAAAAAGCTCAAAGGACAGACTACACAGCACAAAGAGGAAATACTAATGCAGATATAAATATAGCACCAGATTTACTGCTGAACTTATGAAACGTTACTCAGAAAGGCAAACGGCAATGTACCTTCAAAAGTTTGGGGTCGGTAAGATTTTTTTCTGTTTTTGAAAAGTATCTTATGCTCACCAAGCCTGCATTTATTTGATTAAAAATACATTAAAAACTGTAATATTATGAATTATTATTAGATTGTAAAATAACCATTTTCTATTTTAATATATTTTAAAATTGTAATTTATTCGTGTGATCTCAAGAAACATTTCTTATTATCAATGCTGAAATCAGTTGTGCCACCTATTTTTATTTTAGATTTTATGATTGTACAATTTGTTTTCAGGATTTCTTGATGAACGGAAAATTCAAAGAAACAAAAATTTTTGAAATATAAATCTTTTGTAACATTATACAATTCTTTACTGTCACTTTTGATCAATTTAATGCATCCTTTCTGAATAACAATCTTTTTCTTTTCTTTTTCTTTTCTTTTTAAATCTGACAGTCCCCAAATTTTTATGTTCAAGTGGAAAATAGAGATTTGAAACACAATACTGCAATAATCACTGACTGTGATTAACTATATGTTAACTATATGATTTTTATTTTTTTTTATGACCTGATAAACACCAGTAGTGGGGAGAAACTGACACGTGTCAAGATTTTCTCTTAAAAAAAAACATAATAATAAATAAATAATTTGAACCTAAAAACATGGTCTGAATAAACAACATACAATAATTTGTCAAAAATTATACAGTAAATCAATGACTTTTAGTTCACTCAGAGATGGAATAAGACAGTAAAACTCAAAACCTGTTTAAACATGTCCCCAAACAAACAGTAAGTTTATACATTGCCTTGAAGCCTTTGGGTGAAACTAGACACATATTGGTAACACCCTCTAACATTTAAATACAGATGACAAAGTCGAGGCCCCAAACAAATTAGTAGTTACCCAAATAGTTACCCATCAATTTCAAAAGGAAAAACAACAAGAAATGTCCAATATATAAAGCTATTTTTGACATCGGAACATATCTAATGTCGGCAGAATAACTTTATACAACGCAAAATAAAGACCTAAATTCAGTCTGACTTTTAGATTGTTTGCTTTCTGAAAAATGACAAACTCTATAGGATATTACTCTTTACTTTTCCCAATACAAGTGAGTTACTACAGCAACCAAGACTTCTTGTCCCTGACGCTAAAGCATGGCACCAACACATGATGTGTTGCCAACTGTATTTATACATAACCCCGGTAAAAAAGTTCTGTGTGACCATGAAAGTGCAGAAGAACAAAAACTAGTCAAATGAGAGCGGAAGAGAGAAACTGAGAAAGTGAGAGATTAGTCATGGGAGGCTGCTTTGGTTGGTATTAGAACAACGTTGGCATTCCTTCCACTGATCACTCAAAGGTGCCGGGATTGTTTAAATAGCAGGACAATGCATGGTTGTTAAGCGTCATGGCAATGGTTCTCTTACCCTAATGTTTCATAATAAGATCCTTGTGGTGTGTGGTTGCTACCAAGTAGACTGATGAAAGACAACCTAGCATATTAATGTATCACAAAACAAATGTCTTTTCAAATGTTGAGATAATTCAGCTTCTTTTTTTTTTTTTTGGGCGAGTTCATATCGATTTTATTGATTATCCATTGATTATACCAAATTCCATGTGTACATTATGACAATTCATAGATGAATTAGAGTTCATTCACAGATTTTATTACAGTCTTTGTGTAAAAGAGGTCAGCATGACTAAAATGCAAGATTAGATTTTGTAGAGCCACTCTGGCTCTAATTTAATTTGGCAGTGAGGAAAAGTATCTAACCTCTTTATTTTATGAATGCATTGGACTTTCCATGAGTATCGGAAAACATAATCAAGACAATGTATCCAAAACTCTTCCCCAACTAAAGCGGAAAACTGAAATAATGGGCTATTTTTATCGTAAGGACAAGAGGAAATGTGGTTATAGCGAAAAACCTAAAACATGACTCATAGTCGATAATCATCTTCAACAGATGTGAAAGTCTTGGCAACATTAACATACACTCATATACACTATACCGCTCAAAACTTTGTGGTCTGTGTAAGTTTATTTTAATGTTTTTGATATAGGGCAATTCCATGCAAAGGTCATCTTTACCATGAAAAAATAAAGTTTTAACCAAAAGAACAAAACCCTTTTTAACCCTCTGGGGTCTGAGGTGTTTTCGGGGTCCTTGAGATGTTTTGGCATGCTCTGACATTTGTGCTTTTTTCAGTTGCTTATAAACATATTAATGGCACAGGTGAAATTACACTCTATATAGCACACACAGGGCTACCATAATATGTGAGCAACATGTATGTACATGTTTGTATTTTTGAGAGAATATTGTTTATGCGTGGTTATTGAAAAAAATAAAAAATAAAGTTTCTAATATAAGGCCACAAATAACATACTAAATATCTGTCCACAAGACTTTTGACTAGTGGATGTTGTCGCCTAGAGTATTTGCTTCAAATTGATCTGAAAATCATTCTGCCTAATCATTCACATAAAACAATAGATTGTTTTAAATTGTGAAAAACATTTTTTTGTTTGCAAAGGCAATATGCGGATGGGCGGATCGGCCCAACCCCCTCATGAATAATTAGGCATATATAATAATTGTATATATATATACAAACAATCAAAATATAAATGAAAGCCAAAAGCACATTTTTAGTCACACCTTTTAGCCATCCACATACCATTTTTAGCCATCCACCGCGGTAAAAATAAACCAGTCTCATTTCAAAGTCGTACACGAAATGACCGCCAGGTGGCGCAAAGGGACATTTAGCAAAACGTAAGTGGGGCTAATGTCTATTAACAGTAGCCTAAGGATGAAATACTACAAGTTATGGTAATTTCCAAATAAGCCTATACAAATTGTTGGTCATACAGATAAGATATAATCTTTTAAAACTGTAAAAGGCTAAAGTAGGCCTACACTCACAGGCTAAAGACAAAACGTTTATTCGCTCATGTGAGAATCAAACGTTTGGATATTTCTCAGTAACAAAATTCATAGCCGAGCAGTAGAA